GCAATTTGGGGATTTTGCTGTAAATAAATGCCAAAAGGAATGTAGAGAATGCATGGAAACACCAACAACAAACCTTGGTCCTTTTCTGTTCATGACGTGATAATGGATCTACAAGCTGAGTCCTACCAACAGAAAAACAATATTTCAGAAATCAAGGTGTATATTTGCTGTAATGTCGCCTGGCTGAAATTAAAAAAGAAAAAATGGATAATTAAGGTAAACGGGTAAAAACCTTTTTCTTTTTCCTTTTCCTTTTTCTTCAGGGGAAGCAATGTCCTCCGTTTGATCTTGAAATGGTTCGCCAGAAATCAAGCTGCAAACAAGAGACACAAAAATTAAAAGAGGATAAACAAGTAATGTCACCCAAAATTAAAATTAAAAACGTAAATTGGAAGAGGATAAATGAGTAGTAAAAACCTTGTTTCTATTTCTTGAGCGGAAGAATTGTCTTCCCGTTGTTTTTGAAATGCATCACTACCAACAGAAAAAAATAAAAAAAATAAGGCTAGAAATCAGCTGCATAGTTGATGCAAAAATTAAGAGGAAATGGAAAAACACTAACAGCTGGAGGTAGAGGGGAGATCTGCAATCAAGATGGATATATGACATGCAAATTAAAAGGGAAAATGGAAGAGGGGTTACCATGGCAGGCAATCTAATAAATTAGTGATATTTTTATGAAAACCTTTGTCCTTCTCAACCTTAACCTCTGAGTTAGAAGGATTAGGATTGATGGAAAACTTAACCTTGAGATAGTGAAGGATTCGAACAGGAGGCCACATATTTTCATTTTCATAAGAAACGGAGCCAAGCCACAGAAAACAGAGCTTGTCATCGGCCACGGGAACTAGGCGGACCACTCTATCCCACTTATCCATTGACCGAATAGGCATTTTGGTCCATCACGAGCTTCCTTTTCCTAATATCATAGATGTATAAGAAGGCAGCAGGGGATATACTCGAACCTCTAAGATGTACAGTCTCCCATTGGATGCTGCAAAGCTAGTCTCACCAATAAATTCGGGAAGCTGATGCTGCTGATCCTCAGTATAGTAAATCTTCCAATCATTGTTCTCTGGGTTATAGAGAAATAAGTTCTTCCTTCCATCCATTGGCAATTAGAAGCCCTTATTTATATAAAGAAGCACAAGCACGAATCCTACACCACTGCCTCTCTCCAAAATCTTCTGGAGGACGTATTCTGATTTGAAGGCATTCATTGTCTACGGTGTTCCAGATGTAGCCCCTTCTTATACTATAAATTGAGTTCTATGAGACATCCTAAAAATAATTTTATCAAGATTAGATAAGTTAAATCCCATTAGAATTAGAATACCCAAATACCAACCAAATAGAGTTGTAATTTTAGAATAATTTTATATAAACATCCTATAAATACCTCAAGAATAAACTTAGAGAGGCAGATTATTTTCTATCAAAAGTCCTCGGCACCATCTTTGCTATTTTTTAGTGTTAACAATAAGTATCCTCGTCCATGCCATAATAAGTTAATAACCATATCTCCATATACCGGGAAGTATATATATGGAATCATCATAAACGCCAAGGACAGAATCAAAAGAAGAAGATGGTAGGGGGCCGACCTTCCAGCCCTCGGAAAGCTTATCGGTGTCAAGATAGCGGATGGAACTGCTCAACTCATCACTGTTGGGTTTTCGGCCACCTACTGCATACAAGGAGGATTTGACAAAGGTAGAACTTGACCCCAGAAGAGCAGTTCCAAGGCGTTCCTTATCATCCGGTAGCCCTATGTCATTGAACATTTCGAAGATTCCTTTCTGAGGGGTGGGTTTGATGATCAACCAGATATTCCTGAACACCATCGTCTTACCAACTGGAGCCGTAGCTCGAAAAATAATGGGCTTTTCCCTCGCCACCGTTGTTGTTGCGGAATCCATTACTAACTCGTTTTTTTCTGGAGTTCAGGTCGCTTAGGGTTCGAGAGGGTTTTTCTTTTGGCCAATCGATCCAAGGTCAGAGTTCGGGTACAGAAATTGGAAAAGCCATGAGTCGGGCAGGGTTTAGCTTCCGTACTTTCTTTTTTATTCGGGTCGGGCAGGACTGGGGTATTTAGCTCTTGCACCTTTCTTATAGGTTGGGCAGGCTTTAGCTCGTTTAGGTTTAATTTAATAAATAGTTTAATAAAAAAAATTTTGTTTTGTTTATTATTTTTAAATATTTTTTTATTTATCTACGTTTTTTTACTTTTATTTCAATTTAATCTAGTTTATTAACATTTTATTAACAATTTTACTCCATTTGATCAAATTAACTTTCAACTATATATTTTGTAAATTTTTATTCTTTAAAATTAATTTTTTAAGAATGATAAATTCTTTTTTATTATTTGAATTGATTCAAATTTTCTTTTTTTTTTCTTTTTTTTTTTTTGAAAAACAAATATTTATTATATTATAAAATAGAGTACAAAGGTACTCATACCCATATACAAAATAAGGGTTTTTTAACATATTTAATGCATTCCCCTCATATGAAAATAATAGTTCAGTCAACTGTGAGCCCTTTTCTTGTTCACAAAATCAGAGACACGATCTAAGATTTGTAATCCAATCCCATAGAAGCATATTATTACCTTTGCCTCTATATTTTAGCCAATGAAATGCCTTAACTTGGACTAAGTTGAATATTCTGTTGATATCAATTGGCTTGTTCTTGAATATCCTTTCATTTCAAACACCCCATAGTGTCCACAATATTGCAAACCAAATGACCTCCCAACCATGCTTTAATCTTTTGGAGTGAACAAGCCTTTCATGTTGAACAAAAGCCTCCCAACAGGTTGATAATCTTGCTATCGGTAAATCCCACCAAGTGAAGCGTTTATGCCATATTTCCAAAGCAACTTTACAGTGTAAAAAGAGGTGGTCTCTGTCTTCCTCATGCTCATTACAGATGCTACATAAAGTTTCATTGACATCTTTGAGAACTCCTTATTTGAAAAGGTTTGCTCTGGTTGGGATTTTATCCAATGTTGCTTGCCATAGAAACCCACAGACTTTATGTGGGATTTGAGTGTTCCATACCCTCTTGAATGTCCTTTTCTTAGGTCTTGGCTAATTGTCTTCAAGTAAAAGATAGCCTGACTTGGAGGAGTAAACCTCGCTTGAACAGTGCTTCCACATCCAAGAGTCTTCAACTCCAATTTGGACTTGTATATTTTGCAGCAAGCTAACAAGTTTCTGCACGTCTTCTGTCTCCCATGGATACAATTGTCGCCTCCAATTGAAATGCCAATTCCATTTATCTTGTTCCCACAATCCCATTTGGTGGATGGATTTGTCCTTGTCTGTTGAGATTAAAAACAATCTAGGAAAAACATTAGCAAGTTCACCTACATCTAGCCATCTATCCCTCCAAAAACTCACACTTTTTCCTTCCCCAACTACAAACTCAAAACCATTTGTTAGCCACCCACTTTTTCCCTCTACTAACATGTCCAACTTGCATATATCTTTCCACCAATTTGATCCTACTCCTCTACCTTCCCTAACCCAGTTCAACCAATAATCATTTCCTCTACCATATTTTGCTTTTACTATTTTGAGCCACAGACTCTCTTTTCCTTCTGCTAGATTACCCCACCATTTACCCAATAGAGATAAGTTAATTAGTTTAAGGTCTTTTACACCCAATCCCCCCTCATCTCTATTTCTACAAACCTACTGCCATTTGACCCAATTTATTTTTCTTGATTCCCCCTACCCACCCCATAGAAATTCCCTCCTAATCTTATCAAGAATTTTGATGATACCTTTTGGAGCGAGGTAGATCGACATGAGGAAGACGGGGAGAGATGAAAGCACAGAGCTAAGAAGGGTACGCTTGCCACCAAATGATAACCAGCATCTATTCCATTTCAATAACTTGGCTATGATTTTGTACATTGCTCTAATGAGTGAAATAGGCCTATATTCTTCAATACACTGTGGGTTCGGGACTTTAGGCATAAGTGTAATGAATGAGACATTAGACCCCTTGACTAGTTTACCATTTGTGTGGAATTCCTGAACAAAGCCAACAATATCATCTTTAATATCCTGCCACATGTCCCTGAAAAATTGAAAATTAAATCCATCGGGTCATGGGGGTTTTGAGGTACCATAATCCCAAACTGCAGTTTTGATTTCTTCTTGTTCGAATGGAGCAGTCAACAACTTTTCTTTTTGATAATTCTCTTTTATAGAAGCAACCATAATTATTGACATGTTTTAATAACTAATATAATATGTTGTGAACTACTTTGTTGACTAAACTATTCTATTTTGATTTTGATTTAACTTTTTGTTATTTTTCTGTTAAAACTAATAAAATTTTTATATAATAAATTATTTTAAAATATTTTACAAAATTTATAAACTATTTAAAAAGAAAACTAACTTCCTAAATTAGAATGAAATTAGGCTAATAGTTAATAAATTAATTATTAAATTAAACCCACTCATTTACCAATAGAACATCTGTGAATAAATAATTATTTTAAAGTCAGGTAGTTTGATGAGCTTAAATAATTATATCAAAGACTCGACTTGACCAACTTGAAATTAATAATTTAAATCTAAAAGAAAAATTATCTACCGAAAAAATTTAACAAAAATTGGGTCTCAAAGAGTCGACATGGCCCAATTCACACATGTTGAGATGAGTCTTGGGTCTAAGCCCTCCACATGAAATTCGAAATGACGCTACCAAAATTTTTTTTACCTTAAATTCAAATTCAAAAATTATTAATAATAACTTTTATGTTATAAAATATGATGAATTGAAAAATATACCAATAATCATCACTCTTAAATATTAGTAGATCAAGTCCCCTCCAATTAGAAATCCAAATTTAACTTGAATTCTTAATATGGAAACCAAGAAAATTCTAACGGAAGCTGGGTTCAGGAACCTTGCCAATGCGTTCCCGAACCCTTGCTAGTTTTCGCCTCTTCTTCGAACTCGAGGTTCCAGAACCTTGGGCAGGGTGCTGAGAGCCTCTTTACTTCTGGTTTTTCCTTGGTTTCTTCAAGTAATTCAAGGAACTTCCACAACACATGAAAGCTTGTTTACGAGCTAAATCTGAGCAATTTCAGAAGGCTATCCAGTAAAACGACATAAGAAAACGTTACATCACTTAAATACCCAACAAAAATCAATAAAGATGGTCTTCGAGTTCCATTCAATCTAAAGTGAACAGTGCATCTGCTGATGGCACCATTCAACTTCCTTTTTTCAAGCTTTCTTAATAGAGTTTAAGAAGTGTTGGAACTTTCTGGCTAAACTGATACATGTTATCTTGACAGCATCGAAAACAACAAGTTTAGATCGCTTGAGATTTCGAACTTCAAATAGCAATAACGAGGATTTGCACAAAAACGAACTTGTATGCTTGCAATACACAAGGCTGTCTTGATTTAAATCCAAAAGATACAATTCTCTTTTACATGAAAAAAAAAAGTTTTACACACAAAAGAACTTTTAGGTGTCTTGCTTGTTTACAACAAACAGTGAGGCATAACAAGGTTTTGGTCAAAGAATAAGTTTGTATTATTAACTCGGCTCCCAAGCGATTCTTTGGCTGGTTGAAGTTCTCCGGAGCTATAAACTACACTAACCTGTAACAATTGAGAAAAACAATATTTCTATGAAATATAAGGCTCAATAAGTAACAAATAGCTTAAAAAATTCAAGTATTCAAAGTAAACCAAACCAGAAGTTGTTCCAATAGTGTTTAGTATAGTTCTCTGCACATTCAATGATAAATTGCATAAGAAACCTGTCCTGTATCACAAGTATTGGGATAGATTCTGATTCAGCAATAGCAACACATTTAAACTTTGCAAGGTAACTTTATGCATGTCTAAATGTTTCAAAAGAATGCAATTTCTTCCATGGATTTCCTTGGGTGCACATCCTACCTAACAAATGGCCGAGCCATAACTTTCTTATTGTGCAAAGGATCTAATACCATTTCTTCGTACTCCCAATCCAAATGGGTTTTACCTAGCTCAATTGCTTAGGTATTTACCATAATTCCTTATACACAAGAAAACTTGATACTTATAGTTCACATGTCACATGAACACTATTCTGACTCACACACAATCACCAATTTGCATTGTTATGCAAAAATTACAGCTAACACATCCTTATCATGCATTCTGCCAACAATGAATTCACCAGAGAAGATCACATGAGAACACAAAAAATGCAAAAGTTACCAAGACCATTCCAGAGATAAATTAATAGTAAGAGTCCACCTTCTTTTGCGTGTTTCCAAATTCTTATGCAGAGGTAAAGTCTAAAAGTCTATACTTAAATCCCTTCTTAAATTTTTGGAGAATTTAGTTTAGTTTAAATTTGTTAAGCTTAAAAGTTACTTACCTCAATTTAAATGAGGTTTGACCCAAAACTCCTCAAAAAACCTCTCAATTTTGCTACTAGCTTTGTTGCAAAGCAGCAACTCCTCTATTTTTGTTTTGCTCGTCTGGTGCTAGACTAGAAGGGAAATGGAATTGTTTTGGTCATTCTCATCTGAAAGCATGATAATTTAAAGATAAGTTAATGGAATTCTAATGCATTCCACTTCAAAACTAGACTGCCCTTCTCTCACTTGGTAATCACACATTTCAAGTGTATGCTTACCTGTCATTAGCCTAATTAAGCCAAGCCATTTATTCAGTGAACGTTAGTAAGAAATTAATCCCTAAACTTATCCTAAGAATACAAGACATCAACTATTGAGTTTTTAACATTTAAAAACAAAACTTCTAATATTTTTACATTTAAAGACAGAGACATTTCACTTTTTAACAAAATTTGTCATTATTTTTCAAAATTAAAAAGATTAAATTTGCAGCTTAAATCTTTATTCATATCTATCATTCAAACTTTTTTTAAATAAATTATTACATTTAAAATTAGTAATTATCAAAAAGAATAATTTAGTATATTTTTATTTAATTATTAATGCAAATTTTTATTAACAGTACTTCCATTGTCCCAAAATAGCAATTGCTTTTTAATTTTTTTTTTCTAAATTAAAGATATGAAGACAAGTTATCTGTTTACTTATGTTACCTTTTAAAAAAGGATAAATAACTTTTTGTGATAGGATGAAAGTGATCAATTAAAATAAATAGATAATGATATTTTTTTTTTCTTTTTTTTTGCCATTGGATAATGATATGGTTAAAAGAGGAAAAAATATTTATTCACTTTAAAATAATAAACAAAACTATAATTAATTTAGTTTGAGACAATTTTTTTTTTTAAAAAGTCAAATATATTTTAAGATAGAGGAGTACACACCTAACTAAATTTAATATAAATAAAGTGCGAGCAGCACAGCTTGAGGTATAGTGTGTATATATATTACTTCAACTTTCTGAAAACTGCTCAACAAATTGAAGAAAAATTTATACTGTAGCAAACTCTCAAGGCACACTTTCACAAGCTGTATACTGTAGCAAGCGAAACTAGAAAGCTTCTAACTACTACCACGGTTGTAGATCTTTCCTAATTTTCTATAGCCTCCAACCAGCTGGAGTTCCCTAAAATACCTTCTGCAGAATTACATGTCTAAAAATCTGACTTGTGACATTCCAGACTCAAATTTATTAGTTTAACAATTTTTGTTTCCTCCAAAGTTTGTAACACAATAATCATATGTTTTCTCTGTCTATCTTCATGAGAGAAACAGACTAGTACACCATCAATATACAAAATGACAAATATGTTCAGATAAGGTTGAAAGTCTGTTCATTAAGTCCATAATTTTTGCTGGGAATAAGTAAATCTTGTAACCAGGAATTCATACTGCACTTGATTCTAATTCTAAATGTTCTCATACTGTCCTGATTTGGTCTTTATGATAGTAACCAAACGGTAAACCAATCATTTTTCTTTTTCAGTTCAACTAGGTTTTTTTTTTTTTTTTTGATAGATTTAGTTCAACTAGTTCCATTACTGCCATTCTCTTTAAGCTGTTAAATACTAAATCTATTATGAAGTTGGTTCCTTGCTGGGTGACAAACCAAACAGTTGCTTAGGAAAACATCTGCAGTCTTCTTAACTACTGTGATTCTTTACATAGACAGGCTTATCTTTAGTCACAAACAGTAGCATAGCTAGGAATATTTTTCATGGGGGCAAAACAAAACCTTGACTTAAAAATGGTCTGTCTAGGTGTAAATTAAAAAGTCCTTAAAAGAAAAAAAAATTATTACAAACAAAATTTATCAGTCTTTAACCATAAATTAATAGTGATTGATGAGGTAATGTAAATGCCATCAATTAATGGACAAAATGAATGTATATAGTGAGTGAAAGAACACTAATAAAAGAGAAAAGCAAAAAATTATTAGTGAACACATACATTTGTAAAAGGATGATGTTGAATCATTTTTCATTCAAGGAGATTGATACAAATACCCTTTAATTCAACACACTATACAACAAACTCATTGAGAAATTATTTTTTTTGAATTTGAATTAAAGAAGAAAAAACTTAAAGTTACAGATTTTAATCACTAAATTAGTGGGTGTTAACAGGTATATTGAACCGAAGGATATATTAATTATTTTTCTTAAGTAAATTAATCCTTATTTTTGTTGGTGGCCAGAAAAAAAATCTTTATTTTTATCATCTTTCTTATTATCTATATTTGCCACACATCTTTCTCATTATCTATATTTGCCACACATCTTTCTCATTATCTATATTTGCCACACATCTTTCTCATTATCATCACTTAAAAGTAATCTCCAATAATAAAAATAACTAAAATGATAATTACACTATTTAGGATAAAAATTAAAATTTAAGGGACCAAACTACCCTCAGTCCCTCCTTAGCTCTGCCAATGTTCACATATAAATGTTCAAAATAACCATCATATTCCTAGTGCAATAACGTAGGAGCTAGCAAACAAAAGATTGATCATAGTCTAGAATGCAAATCATCACCCCTAAACTTGATCGATAAACTGGTTAGCCATGTGGAATATAACAATCTTCTTGTAGCAGACAATCATTGCAAAATAAGCTCAATGTAAGTTCTTCTATATTCAATAGAGCCAGATAAGCTAATAATTCTCTAACATCAATTCTGCCAAACATGCTATGTAAATATGAAGTTAAGAGTTTCTTTAGATGGTGTACTCACTACCAGCATAAAATAAAAAATTTCAACCTTGGCATACAAATGGGAGGCTTATCTAAGTGATACAAATGATGCATAGTACCATTTTCAATCAAAGCATAAACATTTCCGAATGGAGTGGGTAACTTACCTCTTACTGTAGCTGAATTCCCTTGTGTGTTCTGCTTGTGGTTGCAACATTTTGCCTTGCATTTTCTGGTTTCTTTTCATTTCAATTTCTGGTTTGAAGTTCTTTCTTTCCCATCCGACACAAGCCTCACTCATCCTGAACATATGTTCTGGTTTCTTAATGATTTTTTGACTACTTGCAGCTTTCTCAATGGGTCGAGTTTAAGGGTCAGGTACAATTTTTGCCAAGTCTATGAGCCATCTAGTTTTGATAGATACAAGTTTGTCTTACCGTATCAAGCCCCAAAGCTTCACTGGATCCATCTATAGCCTGCCTAGTTTAAGCCTTTTAACTTCTCTTAAGCTAGCTACCTGAAATGAGTGGATAGTAGGGTGTGAGTTACATAGCTCATATGTGAGTGTTAAAAACTCACTATAACTGAAACTGCTTAGTCAATACTTAAAGATTTTCATAAACAATTTAGATAGGTTTAGTATCAATAACAACTCTGACAATAGCATATTCTTGAGCATATTTGTCATGGCTCTGCTCTAGCACATTACTTAGTCAAGATAGCATGATATTTTACTATGAATGTAGAACTAATTTAATCAAAACTAAACCATGGACAAATCATTTCAAACATATATTTCTTACTCAACCTTTAACAATACATGCTCAGAGACACATACTAACGATCACAATGTGTCTATGGACTTCAAATATCAAATATACATATGTGGTGCACTTCACTTTAAGCCAGGGCCAACCATAGCTTTCCTATCGTGCAAACGTCCAAATGTTCAAAGCATGCTCATAATTTAGAGCTCAATCATCACCCATAGCTGATTGCATAGGTTTTAATTTTTCATAGACTTTCAAAAAAAAAAAAAATCATATTCCATTCAATAAACACCTGTTCAAACAGTTTATAACATAGTTTTGATCACTGAAGATTTTCGAACTTCAAATAAAAATAACAAGGATTTGCTTACATGCAGTATAAAAACGAATATAAAAACAAACATTAATTCCTAACTGTATAGTTTAGGTGTGGTTCAAATCCAATAATTTAGGTTTTACAATATAACAAACTTCATAAACAAAAACAGATTTCATTTACATGCATCTACCATAGCTTTGCTATCTTGCACAAGCTAAGAAAGTCCAACAGCAATTTAATTACATAGCTTATAAGTTGCATTTCAAACTAGTCAGTCTTAACATTTCATGTATAAGCTTAGCTAATCAATTTCAATACGTATCTTCTAACTTCTTAATCTTTCTTTAAATGCACGCAGGTAAGTGTGATAAACCAGATTCTACATTCCAGTTCATCATTCATTCCTTACTCTCTTTTTACATCTCACAAACCAGGTCAAATCATCTAACGGTTTCTACTTGTTTTTAACTCCAAAATTTACCATTTGCTTCCAAAATTACATAATAGAACTTAACAAACACCTACATCATATGAAAGTCACCACTAGACTTGGCAGAAAATCTAATTTCTTTATCCCATTGCCCTCATGGTTTAAAGAGCTTCTCATGGTTGGGTGTATAACAGTAATCAATGATACTCACCCGAAATGTTTTTTTCCAGTTGCAATGGACACCTAACTACGACTTCATAACTTCCAAAAAATACTTTGCTTTGGGTTTCTTGTGAATCCTTTAAACTTTTAGCGTTTGTTTGGATAAAAATTAGTAAAGGAAGGGAAGAGAAGAGAAGTGAAGGGAAGTAAAATATAAAATAAAAAGAGTTGTCACTCGTCCAAATTATGAAGTGAGACAAGTTACCTAAAAATGGATCTGCACAGGAATTGAGGTTCGACTTTTGGTTAAAAGTAAAAAAGGACATACGTGCACCTCATAATCCTTTACCTCATAATCCTTTGTTTAAACACGATTGCTTACTTTAGCATTGAGGTTTTAATTCAACTAATGTATTTTATTTGGGTCTTAATAAGCAAACTTAAAAGAGGGATAAACCAAATTGCAACATTGTTAAACTTTAGGACTAAAATGGATAAAATTAAGAACATGGATGCACAACAACAGTAAATAAAAAGTTAAATGGACTGATTTGATTAAATCCTAAATATGAGGGACTGATTTGAAAGATTTAAAAATTTTGGACTAAATTGCTTGATCATTAAAGTTTTGGAATTGAAATAAAAGGGAGGTAAATTTTGACTTTTGACTAAGATTAACGAAAATAGAGGATTGAAATTCACTAATAATGATAATTAATTTAGTTGAATGATTAATTAAAATTAATTAATTTCATTTATTAACCTTTAATCAAGATAATTAATAAATCTAATTATCTCATATTAAAAACAATAAACATGATTAATTTACTTTAATTAAAATTAATTAATTTCATTAATCACACATTAAACTAATTACCATAATCAATTTATCATCTTATTTATAATTTTTTAATTCCTTAATCCTTTTTTAGTTTTTTTTTTTTTTTTTCTTTTAGATCTATTGGATTGGGTTGGGTCGTCCTAACCCAAAACCACAATCCATCAACGAAAACATGCAGAATGCAGATAAAACCTCAGACAAAAACGAAATTTGGACAGAACAAAGGGAAATTTAGGGTTCATACTAATTGCATCTCATTTCCAGCAAGAAACACATCCTGTAGATTTGTAAAGATTCAACCATGTAAATGATAGGAAAATAAACTGAACAATCTTTGATTCTCATTCATTTTTCAGCAAACATATACAAAAGAACACAGGGAAAAATCAAACATGACGGAATTTTCAGGAGAAGGTAGATCCGAATTTGACAGGAGGGATCCCACCCACGGGATCAAGCTACCATCGTCTCCTTCACTACCTTTCCCAAAAAACCGTCTGTTTCAGAAGATTACCTAAAGCAAGAACACCCCAAAGATATGCTGCCCAAGCTCCCTTTTCCTCTTTATTTTTCTGCCTCCGGCCAACAAAATTGATCTTCTTCCGTTCAAAACCAAATCTCATACATTCCTCCCTTTCTAATCGCTGTCCCTGTTTGATGGTGACCGATGATGGTAATGATGATGACGATGGTGGCTATAATGACGA